CGATGGTGTTCCCCATCCTTGCTGCCTGGGCAGAGCCGAGGTGGGGGCAGAGAATCCCTCCAAAATAGTCCGGGTGCCGTTGAGCAGCTTTTTTTCTTGCGGGATGGAGGGGCAGGTATTAGAAGCAATACGGCTGGGCCGGCGGAGCTTGGCGGTAGCGGACGTCTCCTCGCAGCCGCAACGCGGCGGGGATGGGCACGGCGGGGAACCGGGGGGGTTTCGGGGTGCGGAGCAGATCTTCAGGTGATGCTGCCCTGCCTGCTCATCGGTGCCGTGGGATAACCCCACGCAGTTTGTTCGCTCACCTTTCTCTGGTGGGATGAGGGAGAGAATCGGGAGATTAAAAGTAAAGAACTTGTCAATTGAGATAAAGACTATTTCATAACTAAAACAAGCCAAACTTCAACAGTAATAATGCCAATCAATTTTAACAAGAATACAAACAATGATAATAAAGTGTTCAAAGTTATACTCGGCTCACAGACAGCAGCCGCTGGCCATATGGCAACAACTCAACAGGAGAGGTGAGCCTCAGGAACCAAGTTGGGCTGCCATCACCAAGTAGAGGGAAGGAAGGGATTGAGGGGGTCATTCCTTATAAACTCTTCGATTTCTAGTGAGTGTGATGTTTATGGGATAGAATACATCTTTATTGGTCAACTTGGATCATCTGTCCTGGGTCACCTGTTCCAGAGAGTCCTGGACTCTTGCTTCTCCCCCTTTCTCTTGTGCAGAGAGAAGGGAGGGAAAAATGGAAACTATGAACCACAGGTGCAGGTGAAACCTTGAAAATGTAAATAACTGCCAGGGAAAATAAAAATAAAAAACTTATCAGCTTCTGTAAAGAAAATAACCATCCCAGTCAAAGCTACAATATCAACTTGTGCTCATTAAAGCAAACACAGCTTTCTCAGAAATCCAGCTCCGGCTGAAGCATTAAAAAGGTTTCTACAGTTCAGCCCCAGCAAAACCAGGGCAATCGGGCAGAAAGCAGTGAGTCAAAAAGCTTCCCCCTGGGGCAGCCAGGCCCATGGGGTTGGATGTTTGGGGGTGCTGACGCCATTATGCTTTTCCTCTTAGGAGCTTCTGAGTGTAGGAAAGGCAGATACTGCCTTGCTGGGGATGTGCTGGGTTTCCCTGGGCTGCTAAAATCCTCTTGATTTCTCCCTTCTGAGACTGTCTGAACTTAACCAGACCTGAAAGCAACAGTCTGTGTGCTAGCCAGGAGGATGTCACCTGTGACGGCACACAGTGTGGATGGCTTTTAACAGTTGGAGGAAATGTCCAGGCTGTGCACCTCTAGGGTGCAAGCACCGTGGGCCAGGGGTGATGCTAAGATGGAGGCAACATCACCCACCTGCAGCAGTCTGGTCATTCCCCTCTCTGGCAGGTATTTCATTGCATGGCAAAATTCTCTGTGTGGGCAGCACGAACAGTAAGTGCTGAAAGAAGCAGCTTTATCCTGACCCAGCACCAGCCTATAAGTGTGCAACAGCGTGCAGTAACCCTGTAAGTGAAGGGGTTGTTAAAGGGCAGATGAATGTAGCCTATAAACAGTAGAGTTGACAATAATGTAATGAAAAAAAATGCCTTCCTCATACAAATTCTTCTGGGCAATGTATCTCAAGAGGGGTGGTTGTGAATGGAGTGTTTTAACTAACAAAAACCATGCGAAATAAAGCACTGAAGGGACTAATTCTGCATCGCTAGAAAGGATGGAATAAATAATATAGTGTAATTTCTTTATTAAGTATTTAATTACACTATTTTAACTTCTGCAGTCCTCTTATTCAGCTCTGAGAAACGTACTGTGTTTATAAGGTTTGACTCTTTCCTTAATTCTTCCAGAGGGAGTAGAGGGATCATCTGCTGAATCTCAATGTAGTTTCCAGGAAGGCAGCTGTCCTCAGCCCAGCACCCAGATTTGATTTCCACCATGATCTCCTAGCACTTCTGCTGCTCTGAAAAGTAAAACCTCATCTGCAAGAACTGGCCAACTTAGTGTGATGAGTACTGCTGCCTGAGAATTTAATACTGGTGGAAAAAGTCTAGCGTTTCATACCAGGATGCTAACAACTGGCACTGCCTAGGAACAATTCTGTTCTGGGTCATTTTGGAAAAAGGAAAAGTTGTATCTCCACTAAAGAAAGTCTAATGGCTGAAGGAAGAGAAGGTTTTCCACTCTTTTCAGAAAATAAATCCTGTGTCCTTGGCATGAGGTTGTTTTGATATTCCCCCTTACAGTCTGGGACAGACACCTTCCCATGATGGTGACTGCTGTAGATAGGGGTGGAGGACGTAAAGTGTCTTGTGTTTGCAAAGAGAAAGCTGTCACACTGCATCCCCACCAAGCTCACCCAGGGTCTCCCATGGCCCCTTGGGTCATGGGATTTTTCTAGCTGTGAAGAGCCCTCGCTACTGTTCAAGGCAGTGGTGAATGGGAAGAGCTGTCACTCCACACACCTCTGCCCCCAGACGCTGTTGGTGTGATCTGTCCTGCAGGACAGTGATTTCTTTAAATGGTGCAATACCAAAGGGATTAGCAGAAAAGTCAGATTAAGATCAACCAACTCTTGCAGGGCATTGCTAACAACAGCACCATTAATAGCCACTGAAGCTCAAGTGCTTGCAAGACTGTCAGTTCTTCTGTCCTCTAGGTGGGCAACCACCAGCAATGTACTTCTGGCCTCAAAACACCAAGTGCCTCACCCAGGGGGTCCAGATGCAGAGGACAAGCTGCCTGTTATGTCCTCAGCTGATCAAGATGACACTGCGGTTCCTTAATCTCTCCAGTCACCCTCTAATGCCATCCTATCCAAGGATTTAATTTGCTGCCTATCACCTCACCTTTTCATGTACGTTCTGGGTAAAGCTGTTCTGATGCTCCAAGGGTGGTTTCCCTTGGGGGTAATGAATGTCTGGTGTGCCTAGGCATTTGCCAACCTGTCTCTTTCATTCCTCAGGGCTTTTGGATCAAAATTCCCTCAACGCACATGCCACTGTGAGTAGATACTGGGCTTTTCTGGGCAAAAAAGTCAAGAAGGAACATGTGTGTCAATGCATGGTGCAGGAGAATATCCTGTATTTGCAGGTATGATGCCTGGGCTTCTGCCGTTATTATGCACTTTAAAAAGAGGCTATTTTTCTGCTACTGCCCAAGGCACTAGATGGAGATCCCTTTAGTAGAGACCACCTCCCAGCTTTGCCCTGTTCCTTCTTCCTCCAGCTGCAGAGCTAAGCCAGGTCAGAAGTTCACAGTGTCACAAGTAAGCACAACAGAAGCTGACCTGATCTGACCTGGCCAAAGGGGTGTTTGAAGGTTTTACCTTTTTTTATTTTTTATTTTTCTTCTCTCAATTCTCATCCCCACCCCACTGGGTGAGTTAGTGGCTGGGCTTAAACCACAACACTGCCCTACCAACACCAAGTGTAAAGGTAAACCTCCAAAGAGATGAAGTTAGGGATCTTTGTGTGCTCTGGCTTGTGAAGAGAACATAGAAATCTCTGCTCTGTGCTACCATTCAAAGAAGGATTAATGGAAGGTTTCACACCTTCAAAAGGAATCTTAAATATTGATAAAGATGTGCTGAGAGCCTCTCATCTCAGTGGGTTTGGATTCTGAACCAACTGATTGCTCACCAAAGAGGAGACACACCTTGTAATTTTATTCTGTTGAAATGTAAAACTTTTGCAGCTTATTGCAAGCTTAAGAGTAGAGTTTAGAAACAAACAAACAATTTTTCACAAGAAGTTAAATTGTATATGAACAAAGTGGTGAATGAAAGCCAGGTCTCTTAAACAATAACAGCAAGTGAGTGCGTGCAGCTCAGCTTTGCGTGTAACTTCAGCGTCCCATGGAGACACTGAAGCATTGACACATGAGCACCATCCTTTGTGTGCCTGGGCTCTGCAGTGACTGTGTCGCCTCTATGGTTTATTCCAGGGGTTGTGCCCTAAAGGAGCAGTTCCAAACTATGCCAAAATAGTCGATGTGCCAATTCCACAGTTAAACGAAGAGAGTGATGTCATTGAAGGGAAAGGCCACAACTGGGGAAGTAAAACAAAGGTATGTTGGAAGTTGTTTGCCTTCCATGGATCCTGCAATTCAATATTCTGGGAGGGAGGAGGACACGGTGGTTGTGGAAGATAGGGCAGTGAATTTGGAGTTGTTTCGCTCTTCTCTCAATCCCCCTTCTGGCTTGTACCACTGTGAGAAATTCATAAGCACCAGCACTTGTACCATCGTGAGCAATTCACAAGGACCAGTGCTTGCGCAGCACCTTCTTGAACTCCCGCTTGTCCTGCTGCATCCCACAGTTGCATGCATAGCCTAGGAACATGGCATGAGAACAGCCCTTGTTTCTGCACTAACCAGGAAGTTCCTGCATGCTGGGTGCTCCTCACCAGCACCTTCTGTCTCTGTTGTACTCATCACTACAGTGGGCACCCAGCTGATATGTGTAATACTATGGAATAACGCTGCATTCCTCCCTCTCTGAGTTACTTTTCCCTATTTCTCTTTCCATCAGGAGGAGAAAGACAATCTGCAGGCAGCCTATCATGATCTGAAAACTGACACAGTCCAACCGGAAGAGAGAAATGTCTTCTGTGGCTCCTACAATATCCGTATCCTCATGGAGCAGTGAGTAGACCGCCTGCCTGTATGGGCAAACAGCAGTTTCTGCAAAACTGCCCCAGTCCCTGTGATCCTTCTGTAAGAGGATGGAGAAAGGCCTCTCAGCATCACTGATAAGAAATCCTCAGTGTCAAATCCTTTTTTTTCAAAGATACCAAGATAAATTATATTTAAAGACATAAGCTCATCCCAGTTCCTGTTTCTTATCCAGATCAGACCAAAGGAGAGTAATCCACTACAGTGGTGGAAACTTGGTAGCTGTTGGCTCTGCAGACCGAAAAGTGAGGCTTCTTGCTATGTCAGGAATGAAAGAAGTGACTCCTCTGCTCTGGCCATGCAGGGAGCATCAGAGCACTGATCCTCAATGAGAAGAAAGGGTTCGTTCTCAGCGCAAGCTTTGATCTCAGCATCAGGTGAGCCCCTTGGAAAATCTAGAAAAAATGAAACTTTAATCCTTCCACCCCAATCTTTAGGAATCCTCCTTCCATCACTCTCATTAGAATAATGAAGAAAGGACAGAGGGTAAGGAAACTCATCCCCCACTCACATAGGACACCTTCTGTTTCTCAGTTTCCTCTGGCGCTGAATGATAAAATTGGAAGATAGTGACATACAGATTCTCCTAGAGTATCTTCAACACTAGATATGTTTCCCATAGGTACCTGCAGTGAGATTCTGGCCTTGCTAAGGTCAACATCGAGTTCACCAAGGCTGTGTTTGTCCATGACATTTTAGCTAAGCAGGCTTTAGCACTCTGGTACTTGCTGCAGAGCTGCTCTTTCCAGCACCCTGCAGCAAGAGGTGGATGGAGATGATTAGCTCTTGCATCTTATTTATCACTAAATCTCAGGTGTATCACAATGAGGGATGCAAAGCTAAAGAGCAGGTTGTCTGCCTCTGGCATGGCAATTTCACAGCTTCATCAAAGGCAGCTCTTAATAAAAAGGGAAAAATTTCTCACCATCTCAGGCTCTGTGCTCTTCCTCACTTCAAAAGTGCTGTTTAAGTCCTTGCTTGCATTCTCTAGATAAAGTAAACAGAAATCTTAGCCAGTAAAAAACCAACTTTATCTATAAAGCTCTATATTTCAAGGTTAATTTGATGTAACCATGCCAAAGGTGAAATCTATCCACATGTTTCCAGACAGTTTGAAGGTAGAAGAACAAAGTGTATTGGTAAATATTTAATAGTAAGCCTGACTTGATCGTTCCAACTCCTCTGACACTGCAGTGGAATGACTCCTGATTTTAACTTATTGTATACGGGAGAAAAGCTGGGCCTGTTAAGTGGGAAATAATAAGATGAATAAGCCATCAATTAAGTTAATCACCATACTCCCTTTTTGGTGGGTCCTTTGTAGATGCTGGAATATATGCAGTGGTGCTTGTATGAAAATCTTTAATGGTCACTGTGGGACAGTCATCTGCTCGGATTTACACGAAGAGCAGTTTGTGTTGGGAGCCAGAGATGGGATGGTGAAAGGTGAGAGCCAAGACCAGGAGCTTCCCAGAACTGGGCGAACAGTAGTTAGCAATGGGCAGAGTACCTGGGAACTGTGAGGTGTGACACATTGGGACAGTTAGTCTATAAAAAATCTAAAGGTGAATTTTAGCGTCTCATAGTTTTGCTTCCAGAACAGCTTAAGATGGATGGCACATGCACACGCAAGGGCTCTGACTGTGTCACTGAATAAATTCACATTTCTGCTTTTATTCAGTTTTAATGGCTTTGCAGCTATAGGGCTAGACCAAGTCTTGGGAGAGTGGTATCAACTTCCAACTTTGCTAGAGATGTCCTTCACAGAATCACAGAATATTAGGAGTTGGAAGGGACCTCGAGAGATCATCCAGTCCAACCCCCCTGCCAGAGCAGGATCACCCAGACCAGGTCACACAGGAACACGTCCAGGCGGGTTTTGAATGTCTGCAGAGAAGGAGACTCCACAACCTCTCTGGGCAGCCTGGGCCAGGGCTCTGTCACCCTTACAGTAAAAAAGTTTTTCCTCATGCTCAGACTGAACCTCCTATGCTCCAGCTTGTTCCCATCGCCCCTTGTCCTTGTTGTTACCTTACAGAATAAGGACAAAGAGTATGTGCCGTTTTTTGGACTTAACATTTAAAAATTTTGCTGTGCAATTACACTCTAAGTCAACACCTGGCTCCATGTAGAGCTGCAGATACAAGGTGCAACTGTAATTCCAATAGTATCTTTTAATTAAATCAGAAAAAACTATTGTTGGGTCATACATATTTACTATTTCTCCCTTTTGCCCCTAACAGTGTGGAACCTGGAGAGTGGGAAATGTGTCAGGACTCTGAAACACAACAGTGCTGTCTGGGTGGTTAAAATGGACAGCACCCGTGTTGTCAGCGGGTGCAATTGTGGGCTGGTGAAGGTCTGGTGTGCTGGTACGGGCACTCTGATCAAAGTAAGTTTCTTAGGTGGATAATTCCACGTGAAATTGCCAAAAATCTCCTGTGCTAGTTTTGGAGCTTTCTGCTTATGCCAAAGACTTTGAAATAGACCAAAATATGAAACTAACTCTCAGACCCAGGTTACAAAGCTGAAGGAGCTGGATAGCTGCTCTGCAAAGTAAAGACAGAGTCTGCTAATTAACCACCTTATCAGGCATCCAGAACTAATATTAGTCCACACCTCTGAGAGGAGTGAAGCTCGTTCTACTTGTGGGGAAGAAAGTTGCAAATTGAGCTGCATCTCAGATGCAAGATGTCACAGCTCCACTCTCTTCTCTCTTGGCTGAACATTCAATAGATCACAAGGGCCTCGGCGCAGTAACATCTATTTAGCACATGTAACAAAGATGGAAAATGGATGTTAATTCCATGCTAGTAGCTCATCAGCAGCAACGAGCCCACGATATTTCTCATAAGTGACTATAAAACCAACACAGTTATCCATAGGGTGTATTGGTATATAAAGACACTCGATAAAACTAGAATATAGTGCATGAGGCTGGTATTGCGAGTGCCATAAAGTATCTTGGCATATTTATATCCAGATTGCTGACAGTGTTGCACCTATTTCTTTTATTTTGCAGACATTGGAGGAGCACCAAGGTCTGTTTAAGTGCTTGTCCTTTGATCAGTGGCACCTAGTCACAGGAGGCACTGATGGATATGCCCTGGGATGGAGTATGTTGGGAAACCTTAAGAGTTGCCTAATAACTTTCCACCACCCTGAGTATGAAACTGATGAGTTTCAAGTTGTATTCAGCAGTCCACTAAATCTGTAAAGAAAATGCCTTCCTTACAGGAACACAAAATGCGTTAATTATCAGTTTTAGGATTTGAAATATTCCCAATTTCAACAATCTTCATCTTTAAAGCAGTGTCAAGCCCTATGTGGCTGCAACCAGTGTCTGTCAGTTAAGACCTACAACCTAAAATGCAAATATGCAACCACTTGTTCACAAACAGGGATGAATTAAGACTGACAGTGCATAACCCAGTATTTCAAGGATCCCAACCTCCAAAAACCCCCCATTTTTATGCTCTTTTTTTATACCACCTAGTCAAGAGAAGATAGTATTTCAGAGGTGGCTGAGATAATGCTGAACCCTATCAAATGTGTATTATGTTATTTTCTAATATTTAATTGCTTATCAGAACTGTGAAAACTGTAGCATTGTATTGTTTTCATTTACTTTCCTAGACATCAAAATGACATTTAAAATGCAGCCAAAACCACATGGGTTGCTCTGAAGATGCACTGGGTTGGCTTGTTTGGACATGGAGGGACATCTGCTAGGTCTTTTAAATATCTCAATGAGCTGCTTTATTTAGCCTGTTGTTGGAGGCAGACCTTTGCATTTCCCCCAAGACAAAAAGTAGTTGATCAAGTCTCCTTGTGAAAGCGTGATGAATGTACCAACACTGACGTCTTGTGTTTTCAGGGCAGTTCTGTCTCTGCCTCTATCTCAGAGTCATCAGTGGCTGTGCTGATGAGAAGATTCATATATGTAACTACCTGACAGGAACTTGCCTGAAAGTGGTGATGGCCAGTATGAGAGGGGACCCCATATCTTCTTTCTGTGTTGCAGAAAACAGGTTGGTGTCAACAGCTGCAATCAGTTGCTGAACTAAACTAGGTAGACAACAAAGGTAAGGAATTCTGCATTTTTCTTTTTACACTCCTCACAGACAGGCTTTAAAGGCCTCTACTGCTTACTGACTGCTTCAATAACTTGGTTTTGTTAGCAATGGCTGAAAATAGATTTGCTTAGTCCATTCACCGATCTACAATTTCCCGTTTCTGTACAACTTAAGACACAGCATCGAACATGCTGCTCAGGGAAGCGGTGGAGTCACCATCCCTGAAGGGATTTAAAATATGTGCCACTTAAGGACATAGTTTAGTGATGGACCTGGCAGTGTTAGGTTTATGGTTGGACTTGATGATCTTAAAGGTCTTTTCCAACCTATATGATTCTATGGACCAACTGTAAAGCTGAATTGAGAACCCAAGTTTCTTAAGATGTTGGAGAATCAAGCCAAGGCCTGACAAAGCCTTTACCTGTTCCCTGACCTCCTTCCTCTTTCTAAAAGCCAATAATAGAAAATTCTAGGTGTCCTCACAGCTGCACCTCTAAACTGAAGGTAGTGCCCTGCTTCTGTGTGAGTAATAGGTAAAACACTGGTGTGCTGTCAATGCTGTTTTGGTCACAACTCTAAATCACAGCAATATATGGGCTGCTGTGAAGATAACTAACTACATTCTACCAGACCCAGTACACACCTCCAATTTAGGTTTAAATGTCCCTAATAATATGATATCTCCTGTTTCTTTTGGCATTGCGCTGATCTAGCTCAGTCCACTGATGACAATTTTCATCCTAATTCTTTTAAAACAAATTTTGCTATACAGCTGAATGAAAAGAGCTCCATAGGGCTCAGCCAGAGCATGAGATAAAATGTAGGGCGTCTGATTGATGTGACTAATTGCTACTGCTTCCTTAAACGAGTGATGGTTATCTCCGATCTGTTGAAGTGCCCTCGGGTTTTGTATTGCACAGAAGCAAACGCACTGTGAGGCAGTAACTGCTGTTAATGATATCTGTGCTCTTAAGGGCTTTTCCTTCCCTTCTCCAGGATGGTGATCAATTCACCAAGCTGGATGATGTTCCAGTTTGAGGATGTCAAGTAGGACTCTACCTTAGATGCCAACAGAGAGATGGTGAGGAAGAATAAACAGCACAACCAGATTACAAGCAGAACACCGCTTCACCTTGGGCAAACAAAACACCACAGTGTCAGCCAGATGCATTAACTTGCTCTGGAGATGTGAGATGCTGACCAGCTCATGCTGGATCTGCTGCTGGTCATTGCAAAGTTGTGGAACACCTTTATTACATCCTCTGCAATATGCTGGCATTTTCCAAAATCAGTCTGAAATAATTTCAAAGTACCCGCTGCCTTGATCCTAATCAATATACAGACTCTCTGCCTTAAAAAAAGTGCAGTCTGGTAGATGTGCTGTCGCATTCCAATCCTTCTGTCATTTCCAGTCTTCTGTAAAACCTTTGTACCTTTATAGAATCATAGAATGTATTGGGTTGTCCAACCCCCCTGCAGCAAGCAGGAACAATGTTACTAGATCAGGTTGCTCAGAGCCCTATCAAGCCTGGCCTTGAATCAACGTTTAGTATAAACAGAAAGAGGTTTAGTATAAAAAGAAAGGTTTTGTATAAATTCAATAGATTTGTCAAGACAGACACTTCTCAAGATACACACTCCTGTGTGTCTTATAATAATAACTCTAAGAGTTATTATTGGAATATTCAGCTATTTCTCAAGCAGTGAAGGGACCAAGTCCTCTCTCAGATTTATCTTGCTAGACCTGCTGTTCCTACAGACAAAGCACTGTTTTATGCTAATATAGCTCGTTCTATGGCTCAATTGTGTGTGAACAATAATAAAAACCCCAAACAACTAGAGTTTATGTGGATTTATTAGTTTATAAGCTGTAGAAGTGTGGGTTGAAAACTGGCTGAGCAGCTGAGCCGGGACAGTGGCGATCAGTAACAAATAGTGTAGCCCACATGTCAGTATTGGGTCTGATCTTGTTTAACATCTTCATTAATTAATGATGTGCATGGTGGGACAGGGTGCACCCTCAGCAAATTGGCAGGTAACACCAAACTGGGAGGAGGGGCTGATGCACTGGGCCGTGCTGCCATCCAGAGGGAGCTGGACAGGCTGGAGAAATGGGCTGAGACCTGGTGAGGTTCAGCAAAGGGAAATGCCAAGTCCTGCCCCTGGGACAGGCACCAGGACATGCTGGGGCCACCCAGCTGGAAGGCAGATTAAAATTAAATTGGTATTAAGTAAAAAATAAAGACAGTGGTTTCTATTTCTCTGGTGTTTTGTGGCTAAAATGCCTGAATGTGCTTGATTTCCATTAATGCTCAGGATCTGAATTGGCTTGAGTTGGGATGACAAAAACCTACTTAGTTGTCCAACTTTGAGTACCTGGGACAGTGTACCAGAAATCTCTCTGGTATTCTCTTGCATTAGAGGTTTGAGGCAGGATGCTCCTGCCCACAGCCACTTTGAGCAGGAGTTCTGGTTTGAGATTAATGTCTTTTAAACTCTTCATACAGGAGGGTGGTGATTAGTTCTGGTTTGCTTATTTTAATGTCATCTTCAACTTCTAAAGCCTGGGATTAAGCCACTGTTAGCCACTCTTGCTAACAGTGAAAAATAACAATATTTGTCCTCCAAAGAGTAATAACGAACAGGTAATAAAAACTAAATGTCCACATAAAACCAGGAGGGAGCTAGAAACTAATGAAGATGTGGGAGCTGGAGTGTGGGAGCTCAGATTTGGTATTGAAAAACCACACGGGCTGGGGATGAGCGAGGACAGGAGCTTGGACACAGTCCTTACTGCAGCACACAACTGTAGTCATCTGAGGTGGCTTTGCCTGGCGTTGGTTTTCTGACACGAAGCAGCAAGCATTTCACACTCAGCCACGGGATGGCACTTTCTCCCAAGAAATCAGGTGTAAGCTCAGCGCAGCTGCAGCCGGAGGCTCTTTGGCAAAACCCTCCGGAAAAAAGCATCTCACAGAGGGAGCCTGATGGAAAAACATCGTGGAAAGGCTGATGAGTCTTTGTGTCGAAGTGAGGAGGATCAGAGTGTTGCCTTCCTATCTGGAGCCAATAAATCAACACCTCTCTGCAGGTGTGGGTGCTCGGGCACTCGCAAGATGCTATGGCCAACAGAGGTGGTGTGAAGTCACCTACAAAGGCAGAGCTGGAGCAAGTCCTGTGGTTGGCTTTACCTCAGCACAGCGAATGCAAAGCTGGGAGCCGGGTGTCAGAGATGCACTGGGAGAGAAATCATGTATGGGAAGATGTCCTACACGGTACGCGAGGTCACTTGCGAAGGTAACTCTGAGGAGGTGGTTGTACTGTTATTCAGTCTGAATTAAATGGACCTTGCTGTGCACCCAGTCCTTGGGTGTGCAGGTGAGGGTGCTGTGGGCAGCACCGGCAGTGCATTGGGCGTGATGGACCTGCCAGCAGAGGCAAGGCCAGGCAGAGTGGTGGCAAGGTAGTTTCGGTAGTTTTGTTGTAACCAGGTGCCACTACTCTTGTACTGGGGTCACCCACTTCAATTTTGTTCATATAGCTCGACAGGCGTTTCTGAACAAAACATGTTTTTACTTGAGGGTTGGTTATAATTAGAAGTGTCTGTATTTCAGCAGAGGAACGGCGCTTGATGCTTCACACGGTGAATAGCAAACAAGCAAGACTATTAAAAAGAGGCAACAGCAATGATATAAAAAGTAAACGAAGTTTTTATATAGTATTGTATTTATCAGTAACAGCTTTGGATTGCCTGGGAAATGAGAAACTCACTTAAGTGAACATATAAAATACACTTGTTAACTAGACAAAGAAAATGGATTTTTTGTCATTATGCTGATGCAAAGACAAAACCATATGCAGGCAGTACTGAAGTGAAAGAACATTTTACTTGTTTGTAGCTGGATCACACAGCACGAGATCAGATCGTGTGTATCAGACTTAAGGTGGCAGCTGATTGTAACAACTCTGTATCTGCCCTTTCTAAATAATAATTAAAAAAAAGATGTATGAGAGACCATTAAGCTGCCAGGTCTTTATACGATGAAGTTTTCTGACATGTTGCACAATATGCTTATTTCTATGGTGCTTCTCTGCTGTGGTTTTTCAGGTGTTATATAGAAATAAAGTGTTAATGTGAAGCCAGTATAGTTTTTGAGTAAGCCACGAGTGGGAGGGCTGTGTCACTCACTGCACTAGCTGCTGTTGAAGCTCTTTATAAGCAAGTGGGGATATTACCCCTGTGGCAGAGGTGAGCCTGAGCCCTGGGGATTCAGCCTGCTTGGCTGGGAATGCCCGGAGGGTCACAGGGAGCTTTGTCCAACTCCAGAGACTGACCATGGGGTCAGTCTAGGGAGTCCAGTCCCCGGTATCAGCCAGCACCCTGGGGCCATATGGGAGGAAGCGCTGTGTGTGAAAATGCTACATTGATCACAAAATAAGAAAGCATAAAGTTTTGTTTGTTGTTTTATTTTTCTTTGTTCTTAAAGGAAGTGTTTGGCCATAAGCAAAAAAGCAAAACCAAACCAAAATAAAAACAGGTGGCTGCTTCCTTCAGAGGATTTTCAGAAGAATTTGTGGTTAACTTTTTCGGTCTTTTTAATAATTTAACGTGGCGCTTAGGCAGTGGCGCTGCGTGTCTTCAGGGGTCCCAAGAAATTTGTCTCTCTGACAACAACGTTAACCATGTTGCAGCAACGCTGATGGTAACAATTTCTGTAACATTCCTGATGCCACACCACAACCAGCTTTTAGATTTTTGCAGAGCAGACGTAGGGAAGATTGTCCAACGAGAACACATGGTCGGTACCAGCACTTCACATACTTCCACAATATTGCTTCAGATATTTTTAACTGAAAACCAGGGACTACTGGCAGTGACGAGTGTCGGTGCTAAAGGAGAGCTCACATGGGTCCCCCTTGCTTACTCTCCCCTCTCCTGACAGCAGATGCGGTACCAAGGCAGCCTTCCCTGCCGGCGGCCCGCTCCCGCCGCCCTCCCTCACGGCCCGACCCGCGGGAACGGCCCCTC